CGGCGCCGTCGCCCGGAGAGGCCCGTGGGACGGTCGCGCGGAGCTCGGTGCGCGCCGAGTGCTCGGGAAAGCGCCGCCAGCCCCTTCCGGGGCTCTAATATCGTGGGATCCGGGTCTGGACGGGCGCTTGAATTGCCGTGTGTTGCCTCCAGCCCTCAGTCCACGTACGTGTGAAGTGGGAGAAAGCCAGTCGGAGTGAACAGACTCCCTACGGTTGCATGATTCGCTTCCCGCGGCCCGACGCGTTTTCGTATGTACGGCGTGGACAGGTCTACTTCGGGCGTTAGTTCATCAAAGCTCTTTTTTATGCAGGCCCGGTTTTCAGCCTCTAGTGTGTATTTGCTCTAAGAAGCAGAAATAGGTTTTACTGCCTTGGAAAGTCGCGGCAGAAGTATTTTGGAAGGATCGGCGGGATAGATCATCTCCGCCAATAATGGCCTTTCCCTGTGTGCAGCAAGACTGGAGAGCTGATGGAGCGGGGCCAGACTCGCGGAGAAGCAGTTGCTTTTCGGTGCACGTTTTTCTGGCACCAAAGGAGCTGCCGAGCGGTTCCGTTTAAAATTGCCATTTGTTTGGGGTGGGATGAAAGGAGCCTATTTTGTGGGAAAACAGGCTTTTGCAGGGCAAGAGTCACTGTCTGGGATTTAGAAAGGTTATGGAGCTTGACCACCGGAGTTCTCTTGAGGCCATGGACACCTTATTCCAAGTAGATTTTACTCTCTCGAATCTTCTGCCTTCTAATCTAAGGCACGAACATGACACCATGTCATGAATACAGATTCTTTATTTTCGTGTTGGCAATTTCCACTCCAGAATCTGTTGAGTAGTGTCTGAATAGACTCACAAAGAAAAAAATATATATTGAAAAAAGTCTAAGACTCCCATTTTTGCCTTTCTTCTTCTTCCTTTTTTTTTTTTTTTTTTGAATAATGAGAAATAAGGAGGAGACTTTCCTTCCTGAAAAGATAAATTGACCTCCCACAAGTCAAAATGGTATTTATTGTTTTGGGAGAACTGTATGTATGCATTGTAGCTGCAGACAGTACCAAAAGACGACTTGAAATCTGTTGATATTCCTTTACCACTGTTTGCCTTCAGGACGGCCTGTCCACGCGCTGTCTGAAACAGCTGATGAGAGCCTGATGTCTGTCAGCGTGTGTTCCAGATTGACAAGAGTACAGTTTTTCGTTCATATACTCTGGCATTTTTCCTGTGTGGTGCACAAAATTTCATTGTGTCCCACATTGCTTGTTTGTGGCTTGAAAGAAGTTCTTAGTAAAATGTGAGGAAAGATGTCTAATTTGGGTAGAGGCTGAGATTTTTTTTCTGGAGCATAGTTCACATACTTGAAAAGAAGCACGATGCTATAGAAAAACTTTGAATGTCAAGGTGAGGAGTTTGGAAATGACAAATTGTCCGAGGATTTAAATTGATTTAGATAGTGTTGTTAATATTAGTGTATGTTATTATTATTTTTTGAGTTGGAGTCTCACTCTTATCACCCAGGCTGGAGCGCAGTGGCATGCTCATGACCATCGCAGCCTCGACCTGCTGGACTCAGGCGATCCTTTGCCTCAGCCTTCCAAGAGCTGGAACTACAGATGCACGCCACCACGCCCGGCTAATTTTTTCATTTATTGGAGTGACGAGGGCTTGCCACGTAGCTCAGGCAATCCTCTCGCCTCCATTAAAACAGCCTATTATTGTTTTTAATATTTAATTTTATTGTTTCAAATAGATATATTCACATTGTTCAAAATTCAGAAAGTACAAAAGATTGAAAAATCTTCCTCTCCAACTACTCAGTTCCCTTCTCTGGAGGCAGTCAATATTATTAGTTTATTGTATATCCCTCCAGAAGTATTACTTATACAAGCAGGGGTATGCGTGTATACATGTATACTAATATACACATATATAAGTAAATGTACGTGTAAATATATACATATATATTGGACTGAGGTCTGACAGGTTCGCCAATCATCCTAAAAAAAGTGCTACATACCTCATTGCTGAATGTCACTACTGTCACCTTTGGAGTACTCCCCTTGAGAAGCTATGTACTGATGTCATTGCCTAGTCCGCTTGTCAAAGCAATTTTTGACAATTAAGTTCATGAACTCGCCACCGTCCGCTTAAATTGGCAGCACTGTACAAATAACTATTGGGACCCCCTCCCTACTCACCTGATCTGGCCCCCAAGACTTTATTCTTTACCTGAAGCAAAGGAAATAGTGAAAGGAAGACATTTGATGACATTCAGGACATCAAGGGTAATAAGATGACAGCTCTGATGGCTACTCCAGAAAAAAGTTCTGCTTTGATAGGTGGACTAGGCAGTGGTGCCGGTGCATAGTTTCCCAAGGGGAGTACTTCGAAGGTGACCGTAGTGATATTCAGCACTGAGATCTGTAGCACTTTTTCTAGGATGAGTTTGTTAACTTAGTCGTCGGACCTGGTATTATTCTGATCCTGAAAAAAAGGTGCCCCCATGCCTGGCTAATTTTTTAGTTTTTTTTTGAGGTCTTGCTGTGTTGCCCAGACTGATTTCAAACTCCTGGGCTAAAGCAGTCCTCCATCTCAACCTCCCAAAGTGCTGGTATTACAGACACGAGCCACTGTGCCCAACCATGAATGAGTTCTTAATTTCAGATATTTAGATATTTTATGTTTTAGTTCTAGGTTGCCCACCTAATTTTTTTTTTTTAGTTTGAGTCTTACTCTGTCGCCGAGGCTGGAGTGCAGTGGCACGCTCACGACCACCCCAGCGTCGACCCACTGGGCTCTGGTGATCCTTCCACTTCAGCTTTCCAGGTAGCTGAAACTACAGGCATGCGCTACCACGCCTGGCTAATTTTTTGATTTATCTTAGAGATGAGGTGTTGCCAAGTTGTCGGGGCTGGTCTCGAAGCCATGGACTTAGGCAGTCCACTCACCTCGGCCTCCCAAAGTACTGGGATTATAGGCTGAGCCACCAAGCCCGGCCTTCCCATCTAATTTTTTTTTTTTTTGAGTTGGAGTCTCACTCTGTCACCCAGACTAGAGTGCAGTGGCCGCTCCTGGCCACCGCAGCCTCGACCTGCTGGGCTCCGGCGATCCTTCTGCCTCAGCATTCCAAGTAGCTGGAACTACAGGCGCGCACTACCATGCCTGGCTCATTTTTATTTATTGTAGAGATAAGGTCTCGCCAAGTTGCCCAGGCGGGTCTCGAACCCGCGGGCTCAGGCAATCCACCCACCTCAGCCTCCCAAAGGCGCGGGATTACAGACTGAGCCACCGAGCCCGGCTTCCCATCTAATTTTTAAACAATACATTTTAATTCTTTAAAATTCTCCATGGTTTTTTTGTTGTTGTTGCTGCTGTTTTTTTTTTTTTTGAGTTGGTGTCTCACTCTGTCACCCTGGCTGGAGTGCACTGCCGTGGTCACGGCTACTGCAACCTCGAACTGCTAGACTTAGGTGATCCTTTTGCCTCCGCCTCCCAAGTAGCTGGAACTACAAGGTGCGTGCCACCATGACTGGCTAATTTTTGATTTCTTGTAGAGACAAGGTCTCACCAAGTTGCTCAGGCGGGTCTCAAAACCCTGGGCTCAGGCAGTCCTCTCACCTCTGCCTCCCAAAGTGCTGGGATTATAGTGAGCCACTGTGCCTGGCTGGAATTCTTCACCTTTAAAAGAAACCTCTTTTGTCCTTCTTTTCCCCTTATTTTCTTAGACATATTAATCATGGTTATTTTAAAGTCCCCTACTGGTAACTTCATATTTGCATCGTTTGTGAGCCTGCTTCTAATGTTTATTTTTAAATTTTTCATCAGATACCGGTCATTGTGAACAGTCGCGGAGGCCCCAGAACATGCATCTTACAAACATTGTTAGTTTTTTTTTGGTTTTTTTTTTGAGTTGGAGTCTCACTCTGTTGCCCAGACTGGAGTGCAGTGGCATGCTCATGGTCACTGCAACCTTGATCTGCTGGGCTCAGGTGATCCTTCTGCCTCAGCCTTACAAGTAGCTGGAACTAAGCCGGGCTCAGGGGCTGAGCCTGTAATCTCGCACCTTTGGGAGGCTGAGGTGAGTGGATTGCCTGAGCCCGCGGGTTCGAGACCCGCCTGGGCAGGCGAGACCTCATCTCTACAATAAAATAAGAAAATCAGCCGGGCGTGGTAGCTCACGCCTGTAATTCTGGCTACTTGGAAGGCTGAGGCGGAAGGATCGCTGGAGCCCAGCAGGTCGAGGCTGCGGTGGCC